TGTCTGTAACTGAGTGTGTGACTGTGTCTGTAGCTGAGTGTGTGACTGTCTGCCTGTAAATGTGTGTGTGGGGCTGCAGGGATTTTGTAGAAGGGGGTGGGGGTTTTGTATTGGGACAGGAGTCTTTATAAGGGGGGATAAGCAGGGGATTTGTGGAAGGGGGTTGCGGGGGTTTTGTAGATGGGGCAGTACAGGATTTGTAGAAGGGGCAGGACAGAGGTTTTGTAGGAGGGGCAGGGCAGGACAAGGGTTTTGTAGGAGGGGCTGACAGTGGTTTTGCAAAGTTTACAAATTGTAAAAATAAAAGAAATAAAACCTTTAACATTTTTTACAGGTTTTTGGGAGGTGGTGGGGGTGGGTGGGGTGCCAAGCACAGGATCCGCCCCGGGTGCCAAATGCTCTGGTACGCCCCTGCACACACATTGACACATGTTACACACACTCAGATACACACTGACACACAAATACACAGAAACACACACACTGACACAAAAGGACACACAGAGACAGGAGCTGGGAGTGACCGTGTGTCTGGGGTAGGTGAGGGTGACAGTGTGGGGGGAGGAGAGGTTGACAATGTGGCGAGAAGTGATGGTGACAGTGTGGTGGGAAGGTGAGGGTGACAGTGGAGGGAGGATGTTAAGGTGACAGTGTAGGGGAAGGGAGAGGGTGACAGTGTGTGGGGGAGAAGAGGGTGACAGTGTGGGAGGGAGGTTAGGGTGACAGTGTGGGAAGGAGGTGAGGGTGACAATGTGGGAGTGTCAGGATTACTGTTGATCCAGCACGCAGAATTGTATCACACCTCGGACTAAGGACAACGTCTAACTGGACCTTAGAATGGCTGGACTTAACGTACAAGAGAATAGTCAAAAAACTTGCCGAGGTCAGGGACACAGAACGAGGAACAGCAATAAGGAAAAGCCAAATGTCAAGGGTACCAGGAATCAGGGAAATCAAAATGCCAAAAGCCAAAGTCAAAAATCAGATATACACTATCAGAAACACACTCTCGGATAACCATCAAAGGGAAACCACGACAGGTCACTGACAGAAAGGTCATTTGGGTTTATATATACCCCTCCTTCGGCTGTAATTTGCTTGCTCCGACCTCTGACCCCAAAACGTGCGTGCACATCTTTGATGTGACGTCGCATGCACGTTGGCGCCATACTTGGTGTGGACGAAGGTAAGTTTACTTAAAAAATCTGAATGGCAGCGGTAGGCACTCCTAAGAGTGTTGCACCTGACTGGGGACCGGATCGGAGGTAGATCAGGCAGTGATCTGGCGTGAGCAAGGTAAGTATGAATGGTTTCTGTCGGCGTGGTTGCTTACTTTATCTGCAACCACGCCAGCAGAATCACTGGGAGCTGTGACAGGGAGGGAGGTGAGGGTGACCGTGTGGGAAGGAGGTAAGGGGGATATCCATTAAAATACTTTTTAAAAAGTCTCTGGTGATCCAGTGGTCTCTTCTCCTTCCTTCCTCCCTGGTTGTCCGGTGGCTCTTGCTGTCCGGTCTGCAGCTCCACCTCCACCAACTGCAGACCATGCAGACATAGTCTTTCGAGCTTGACTCGCCAAGTCTCAGAGCGTTGCTGCTGTAACCCGTGGCAACACTCTATGATTGGGCGAGGTTGCTCCTGAGTCCCCGGCGGCCAGGGATGTGTGGGTCATCGCAACCCACCAAAAATCAGCTGGGAACCCAACAGTGTGTCGCGACCCACACTTTGGGAAACCCTGGGTTAGAGTATCACTTTCATTAAATACTACTTAAGCAACATAAATAACTGAATCTCATTAACTTACTTTTATTTAAGCAAGGATATTCACGATTTGTGGCATGTGTATGGCCCTCTGGCACACCTAATATAGAGAATATTGAGTAGAAAATGTTCTAAGAAAGCAATGTTACAGGCAGCTGGGCTCTGTACACCTTTCTAACCTACTCTAGCTGGTTTTAAAGTTTTTCACAATTCACACTGATTACAATGCCATAGAGCAAACACTGTATAGCCTTTTAAACATCTGATTTCAAAGAGTAACAATGCAAAGAATACTTCAAATGACACAATTAAACTTTGTGTCATCATTTAACACGAATGCTCTTTTATACAAATGAATCAGATCAAATCGTTTTTCAAAGCATCTGGTGCTAACTAAATGCTTATTTCCACTCAGCTGAGTAAATTTAGAACGAGGTGACCTTGCAGATCCAATGTAAACTTGGCAAAGTACAAAGAATGTTTGAGCATGTTTCTTTTCCTACTCCATTAAATTACAAATGAAGCATCATTTTACTTCAAATGTGAAACATATGAAGTACCCAAAGTTACAGGGAAAAGACTGGAGCTAGGAGATCTGTGCTCTCATTGCCATTAAAAACAAGGTTGGAATCAACCTATCCCTGTTGTTTAATAGAGCGTTTATATGCTCACATGATCTAAGTACACATCATAAATAAAAGTTGTGTGTTTGCCTTGGGGAAAAAAACCCACAATGTGTTGTTGTCGGATATGATAAAAATGTAGATTTGTGCGTTGGGTTTCAAGCAAATTGTGAGTTGTCCATATTCCACGACTCCAAAGCAACATGTATTACGAAACAAACGAAATGAGCAGTGGATGAGGCAGTCTGCTTTTTTCGTGATTCAGAGTTCTGTCTGTGGTGTTAGAAAATGGGGGCGGGAGTAGAGGAAAAGCTATTATTTTTGTTTATTTCAGGCACTTAAGCAGCTTAGTTTGCCCTGATGGACAATAGGTCTGTCCAATGACTTAGGCTGTACCGTGTTTCTCCGAAAATAAGACCGGGTCTTATATTAATTTTAGTCACAAAAAACACACTAGGGCTTATTTTCAGGGTAGGGCTTAGAGCCAGTCTGTCAGCCGGTGTCTGCGCTCTGTAACCCCCCCAGAGACCCTCACCTCCCCCTCCCTGTAATATTCTCCCCTCCCTCCCTGTAATATTCTTCCCTCCCCTCCCTCCCTGTAATACTCTCCCCTCCCTCCCTGTAATACTCTCCCCCCTCCCTCCCTGTAATATTCTCCCCCCCCTCCCTCCCTCCCTGTAATATTCTCCCCCCTCCCTCCTAATATTCTCCCCCCTCCCTCCCTGTAATACTCCTCCCCCCCCTCCCTGTAATATTCTCCCCCCCCCTCCCCCTCCCTCCCTGTAATGTTCTCCCCCACCCTCCCTCTCTCCCTGTAACACTCCCTCCCCCCCTCCCCCCACTCAATCTTCTCACCACCCTGCTCTTCCTGTATGCTTAGGCTGGGGAAGGGGAGGGTGGTACAGTATTGCCGTCTGGCTCTCTATGGGCTCAGTCGGCTTTAATGGCACATTAAAGGCCCGGCGGCCATACATTACTACTAGGTCTTATTTCAGGGGTGGGGCTTATATTTGCAGCCCACCAGGAAATGATAAAGCTAGGGCTTATTTTAGGGGTAGAGGTGTATTTTTAAGGAAAACAGGGGTATCTCCTGTCCAATCAAGAGGTGGAGAAAAAAGGATTGATGGGGGGGGGGGGATGTTTGATGATTAGAGGGCAGACACTAAATGTTGATTTTATTCACACCAATAGAGTGTGAAAAGGAGGAGCAGTAAAAATCTATATTTTTCCATGCAGGATTCTGCTAGACTTCAGCTATCAAGGGAGACAGACCAGCTATGAGTGTGTGCGTCACTATTGCTGTGCCTGCTTGAGCATGAGAGATAGCCTGTGTCATTGATCCCAGTGTGAGACTGGTGAGGGCTTGTTAATGCTGTACTTTTTTTCTTCTTTTTTCTTTCCATTAATTTACAAGATAGCAAACAAATTCATAGTTAATTATTTTTTTTTAATACTGGTATAATAATATAATTCTGACAACTCACAAATGGCACTGAATAAATTCCTGAAATTGCTTAGCCATTTTTGCATTGTTGCACACTGATGGGCACATTTCCATGCCCTTTTTGGTTTGTCCAAATAGTTTTTCCCAAACAACTGCATGGCTAAAATGCATCTGAAATACCAGATGGAAGAATCTATGTTCGTTTGAACAAAAATGTTTTTTTTTTTTTTAACAAATTGATTTGGAAGAGCCATATTTTTCTGCTGTGTACAAGTCTATAAAATACTATTTTTGGTGATCTGATGTAATTGAATTTCCGAAAGTGCAAATTGCGATAAACTGAGAGTAGTCTTGATATAAAGTGACTTGACAGGTTTGCTTAAAGTAATAATATTTCTTTATGCATTGAATGTATCATTTATCCTAGTGATTACATTATTACCTCCTCTCCAGAACTTCCACCACAATTCTAGCATGATTGGCCCTACTTGGGAACACTTCCCTTGAGTAGAGTAATCATGTCTACTAATGCTATTCATTGATGCCCATCTGAGCCAAACACAGTCATATTTCTTATATTCTTCTAGCATGCAGTTTCCAAAGAATTATCACATTTCTCAGATTTTCACATGTTACTGTTTATTCAATATATTTAAAAAATGAAATTATTGCATGTTTCCAAAGTATCTGGTATTGATAAGTGTAGTTGAAATATAAATGTATTTATATTTTAGTTTGTGATTTTATATTGTTTATATTAAACTGTATAGAGTATATGCTATGGGAGTATTACACCCCCAACGTTTTGATTCCTTTTTATTGTATATTACTTTATGCTACAATGCATGATGCAATCTGTGCACACTGACCTCTGTCAGTTTAAGACATGATAGTTTAGTAAACTTGGGTATTTTTAAAGATTGTTTTCTGAACATATTTGTTCTTGACCAGAATGATTTTGTTGTCACACCAAAGCACAATGGTTTTACAAGAAAGGTAATCAACAATTTTCTTTCAGATAAAAGGGGTAAAATGCGATATTTTAAGTGACATATATATGTCAACCCAGCCACTTATATCTTCTTTTCTATTTCTCAACCAAGTAAAATGACAATTCCATTATGTCTGATCAAAAAAATAAACCCTGTGCATCTTACAAAAAGTTCTAAAAAAGAATAGAATTTATTGATGGAATAAACAATATTATTTATTCTAGGTGCAATTCCTTAATAGGTTGTTTCACCAATAGATCAACATTTCGATTTATTCTTCTAAAGTATCTATTTACTGCACAGTCACTAAAATCAGGGCTGTCCTGTCTAGATTAGGACATTCAGGAGGCCTATGTATTATGAAAAAAATATCCAAAAAAACTAAATTAAAAATGTTAACAAAAAATAAATAAATAACACCTGCTCTTTCAAGTCCCCAAACATTTCATTATCTCAGCCTCTGCCTACCATTAAATCAGTAGTCTCTTATTTAGTGTATGGAGTCTGCACTGTTGAACATGTAGTAGGAGAGACAAAAAAAAGGAGGACTGCTAAAGTACCGTGCAAAAAAAAAAAATGGTGATGCTTTCTGAAATAGGTCTGTATGCATGCATAATCTTCTTTCAATCATTACCTGGACACACCTGTATGGCCACCGACTGCACTCATGTCTGGTCAGCTGTTTATTTTATTGAATTTATTTTCTTTTAAATAAAAGTACAACTAAGCGTTTACTTTTAGTTAGCTATTAGAATATACAATTACATACAAACTTTTTAATTTTAACCCAACCAACATGTGAATGCTCACTTTGATGTGCAAAACAGCTGAAAAATTAGAACATAAGTTTCACTAGACACAAATATATAAGTTGCAACTCAACAGAGAGTGTGTTGTAGACTTGGAGATTCGTAATGAACTGCAATTTGTACAAGTTTGCTCCACTTAGGTGATTGCTCAAATTCCTGAAATTCTATCTGTAATGTAGAGGAATAATGATCCAAATGAAACGTGCAATGGACGAGCATGTTTTTTGATTCATGATTCCAAATTCCACCTGTGGCTCCCAAAAAAGAGGTTGATGGGTGTAGCGGAGAGCTGGTATTCCACAGCCTATCTCCACTTTAGATCCCAGGGAGACTCAGGAACAAGCAATTATAAATCCATAGGGTAAAGTATCCAGCAGGCAAAATAACGGCAGTATCCCAACAGCAATTCCCAAGAACTGGACGACACACAGTTTCAGGAGCATAACTAAAGCTTTATTCAGACAGTGGCCTTTTAAAGCCTGCTCCCATGCAAGGGAGGGATTTTCATTCATTAGTACAGTAGCCAATCCTGCTCTGGTAACCTCCCACACCTCTCCTCCCCTCAGCCTGCATCATAATCCCCTTATCCAGGACACCAATTCCCCCCGTTTCTGGATGTACCCCTAAACTTAGGGGTACCACTTTAAATCATACATCCCCTGGTAGCCCTGATCTGGGTGAACAACATATCCAAAAATCACCCAGATCAGACCAGGGGTTCGGGAAATTTACAGAGGGAATAAAATGACTGACCGCACTGGGTGAAACAGCCGAATGCGGTTCCATGTGAATGGGCCCTGCGGTCGGTCCTGGAGTCAGGGAATAAATGGCATGAAAACCTCTAGCTACAGAGGCTAGGGAGGGTTCGCATGAATCCCCTCGTTCGGTTCTTTCTATCTACCGAACGAGGGGCCGTTCGGTAGTTAGGAACCGAACGGACCAGGCTTGTGGAGCTTTCAGCGGAGTTTGCCTAGTCGAGTGTCCAATTTGAGTTCCAGACACTCGACGGCAAAACACAGCTGTTTGGGAGTTTTAAAATGGCCGCCGCCACGTGTTCGTTTTTCGAATGGCAGCCACCCCCGAGAACAAAGGACGGCTACTTAACTTGTCAATTACCCGTTCGCAACAATGTTGCAACGGTTAATTGAGGACACACTTCACACAGGGGAGGTCTGACTGTTCGGTAGTTTCATTCGAACAAACTAAGGGAATGAAACTACCTAACATTCAGACGAATACAATACATACATGGTTCTTCTGAATCGTTTCTCTGAATTAGTTTTATTAGCAAAATGAGGCGAACTGCATTATGGCCAAAATTCAAACATCCTGAAATTATTATTTTTTCATGTAAAAATGTTTTGACCAAACTAATTTTTTTCACCACACACAATTCTAGCGTGTTGTCAATCAAGATGTCTATCACGTTTGTATAATGTTACCATAACATGGCTGAGCAGTAAATGTATAAGTTAGAATTTACAATTGTATGCAAATCTAAATAAAAATACGTTACCATTTTGTGATTAAAAATTATAAATACAAGAAAAGATCATATTGTTTGCACACTATACTAAAGTAATTTTATGTTTCTATGACACAAATAAATTATTTAAATATTTGCCAGACTGACATTTTTGAGCATGGATCATGGGCCTTATTTTATTTCCAATTGGAAAACAATGCAAAAAAAGTCAGCAGCAAGTTGTTAGATAAACACTAGGTGGCGTTGTTTCATTTCCTTTGGTGAAGTTCTCTTAAAAAACATTTGTGAAACGTATTCTATACATGCATATAAAGCAGAATTCTGAATGACAAACTTGCTGATTTATCTTTTACACAGCATTTTGTTGGAAGAGCAATACTATACAAAATAAGCATATCAATGAACATTTTCATTTTGATGTCTTAGTGCTATTTAAAGCTTTACCTGAATTGAAACAGTATTGAAGTTCTTGGTAATCTTTTGAATGTATTAGTTTGCTAAAAGTCTTCATGTAGAAAAAGAAAATTTGCAAATATATGTGAATGACCTTAAACAAAGCAAACTTAAAAAAAAAATAAGTGGCATACGGATTCTACCCATGGCACGATATTAATATTAGAGACAACAAATTGTTCTATGTCACCTATTTTAATGTCGTTTGTGTATATGAGGTTTATTCATTAAGGCGTGACTTGGTAATTCAAAATAAAATGAAAAGAGAAGTAATATTTGACTACACAGGAGAAGATGCAGGTGGAACTTGGAGGAGCATTACACAGGGTCTGCACTCGTTACAGGTGCAGACCAGAAACTAGACTTGTGCACAGAGGAAATATTCATTTTGGGTGAACCACCGACCCTAGTCGTTCGCCATATTCAGTATATTGCTGGGCAGGCAATGTGATTGCTGGCCAGAGTCTCTTTCCAGGACCAGTTATGTCTGCTTCAAAAAAGGTTCCATCTGCTGTGGTCTCTTGACAGGTTTTAACTACAGTAGAGGCATTTTTGGCACAATTATAGCTCTAGTTAGCTGGAGCTACTGCAAGGTAAGACCGGTCATCTTGGGTGTCAGGCCCCGCCCCTCCTGATTGTGTGTTTTACGGTTGCTGTACCTGTGTGGGCATTGGAGATCGCCTGTGTCATTGATACTGTTTATATATTGTATATATATTGAATTACAAACATGTTCTCTTCTCTGCTCCTTTGAATAAAGTTGCTAATAATTTCTCAGATTTTCACATGTCACTGTTTATTCAATATGCCTAAAAAAAATTAATTATTGCATGTTTCCAAAGTATCTGATATTAATCAGTGTAGTTGAAATATAAATGTATTTATATTTTAGTTGTATATATATTGCAGTACACTGATAGGTGCATTTGCTATAATATATACATATAATTTGTTTTACTACTCCTTCCTTTTCCCACTTAATATGTGAATAACATAAACATTTATTAATTGTCCCCTAGCCTTAAATCATATTTTTTTCCCCATCAATCAACTCTTTTTTTCAAATTTTGGTACCTTGAGTGTAACTCCTAATCAAAAATCAAACGAACACGCTTATCCATTGCAAAAATAGTTTTTTTTTATGATTAG